AAGAGGTGATCGGCGCTTCAGACATACCTTTAACAATCTTTTTTGAATTTCTTAATTAACCGTTAATTTTTGTATGGATTTTTTATTATAATTAAAAAATAATTCCATCTTAATAAAGATTACAATTCTTTTGTACCAAAAAAAGCACAAACATTGTAAACATCTTCAACAGCTGGAGTGAAGTGTGGACGATCTAAAGTGGCTTAATAAATTTTGGGAAGGATTGAGGGATCAAAATTAGGAGCAGTGTCGGACTCAGGGTTGGTGTCAGGTTAAAGTGCAAAATCCTTGGCCACACTTGATAGTTTCAAGTTTGTGACCAAGAATTTACTCTCATAAAATTTTTGTATATTCCTATTGCTTCATAATGATGGGTTGAATTTAACTTAACTTTGTTCCTGATGAAATGAAAATTGTCTGCTATAACCATGTGTGAGGTTCTTTTGTATCTCGATGGCTTATTAAAATCTAATTCGATATACGATTCGGGGATAATTCTGGACAGAAGTCGTTGAACGTTTCTTTCACATGTTTAGTACAAAATTTGTATGTTTAGGACAAGTTGTGTGGTGTGTATCTGAGTGTGGTGGAAGGTGATGTGTGTGTATTTGACTCGTTAATAATTCGGAAAGCGGCCAGCACACAATTGGAGGCGTGTCGGTCAAACAATTGCTCTGCCTCGATAACCAATATTATACTGGCTGCCATTGACACTTCTCTTTACCTACTCATTTATTTATTGTAGTCGAAAAACTGACGCTGATTACACCGACCATTCGGCTTCCGTACACGCCAGACTCATTATTTCTAAATAATTTTGACCCTCATTATAATTTTTACAATTTCCTCTTTGATAAATATCTTTTAACTGTTTCATTATCTGACATTAGCTATTAAAAAAACATCATCTAAATTAAACACTGTGGAGCTTCCCTAACTGGAACTGAAAACATGAAGAACAACATTCGTGTTAAAGGTCACTTTAAGATTTTACAAATTCAAAAATACGTTTTTTTTATTTCAGTGTTTATTATTATCTCTTGATGTTATTATTTTTCTACATTAAGAATAATGGATTCCTTCCAATTTGCAGTACTGTCTTTACCATAAGGGCACACGGGGCCCGTGCCCAGGGCCCCCGTCCTCACGAGGGCCCCAGAAGACCGATATTATTTGCTTACATTACTCTTTTTTCCCGAATGCAGAATACACCCTAATTAATTACACTACTACACCATCTCTATAGAAGAGCAACAGAAGTTATAACTTTGGTGTGATCGTTATGATAACAAATCATTTCATTATATCGAAAAGAACATATTTAAGTGGTTCACAAAAAAGAAAAGAAGTTGTAGCTCAAAGAGAAGTAACCAAAAAGCTTCGCAAGCTCACTTCATTTTTTATGGTTGAATAAACAAACAAACGGACTGATGGGACTGATTCTTCATTCCCATCACCCCAAGATCAAAATACTTCTAAATATCAACAGGAAAAAGAGCACATCAGACGCTAAACCCTCCACTTCAAACTAATGTGAGTTAATAGCTGTAAGCTTGGAGAATGTATCTCCAGGTTCTGATCCTGATCCTGGTACGTACCGTGATGAAATTTTAACGGAAGAAGTAGGGTATATTTGGATTCGGAAAGGACCAGAGTTTTTCCAAAATAAGAATTGTGACTTTTTTGAGTCTTCTACAAGTTTTCCAGATTTAAGTGGTAAAACAAAAATTAGACACTTGACTAAAAATATTTTCACCCGTAAATTAACGAATGGGGAGTCTATAGAAAGAAAATGGCTCCATTATTCACCGTCGAAGAAATGTGTGTACTGTTATTCCTGTCGTCTATTTAATACGAGTGCTGGTACTGGACATAATTTCAGTTCTCCAAATGGGTATAAAGACTGGAATCGACACCATAGTAAAAGTTGTTCGTATCGACAGTACTACCACCCCCTAAAATATTCGCAATTAATTAGGCGAACATCTACAAAGTATATTTGATTTAATTAAAAAGTCAAAACAGACAAATGTTTGAATCATTCACTTAACTGTTCAAAAGGGCCCCAAATTCCTGTGTGCCCAAGGGCCCCGGCATGGTCTAAGACGACTCTGAGTAAACGTCGATGGGACCAACCACCACCAACCCATTCCCATGATCCTTATATGTAAGCCCTACCCTCCAACTTTACATGAAGGTTTAGGTCTGTGGGGCAATAACTCTCCCGTAAGCGTTCGTATCTGATAGGTATGAAAAGTAGAAAGATTCTACTAGGGGTTTGTTTGTGTTTTGGTCCATTGCTCGATTAACTATGGTCCAAACCATATCTCGGTTAAAAATTGTAGAGAAAAACGGTAAAAATGCCCGATTTGCCGTTTAAAGTAGAGGTAGTTTACAATCTTGTGGGCTATGACCTTTAGTAACATAGTGACAGCCGTAGAATGGAGTAGTAGAAGAAGATGCAAGAGTAATCGCGCTGATGTCACTTGATTAAGGACGAAACTATCAGTAATGAGGGAGATACATAAAGGGACACTCTTTCTCTCTTGCACCAAGCGTCACAGCAGACCATTGAGTATCGAAGTGATAAGCTGACCTACTAAAAAATAAAAATAAGGCAAGAGAGACGCAAAAAAAATAAAAGTTATTTATATTCATCTTTAAATGATCTAAACTACTCTACTCGGAAATTTAAAAAATCTTAAACGACCTTTAAATATCAAACTACTGGCCAAGAGTTTCAGGATCTTTATCATTTTTATTGTAGAAAAAACGAAAAAAGAAAATAAGCAAAAATCGATTACCGACGATGTTGAAGATTTTTTAAAATTTTGAGCGACCTCTTAAATTTTTTTTTGAGATGTCCTTTGGAGAGGGCTCTTAAAACATATTTTCACAGGAGACTCGAAAAAAAAATATTTGTTTTTTTGGATCACCTTTGTAACTCGCTATGAATTTTTATGGTCAAAGGATTCAAGTAATGCATAACTCGTATCAAAAGAGCGTATTTTACAGAGAAACCTCTTTATATGCAGAAAGGGCAGCTTACTTATGATTATTAGGTTGGTACCTAATACATAGGTACCTACGCAATGAAAAATAAAATATGTTGGCATGTACACAACATGGTTTATGTAAACTTCATTTTGGCCAACGAAAAGACCTCTCGTGTAGGTACAATCACGCGAATCAACTGCTAAAATCGTTTTCTAACATGCAATGCTCACGTGCCCTTTGTGAGTGTGCTCTTGTACATTATGTCTCCGTTTCCCATTTATTCAAATTCCGGTCGTATTCGACCTTTTTGGAGCTATTGTTGAAAACGGGGTCATCGGATAAAAGATCTCGTAATTTAGTTAGCGATCTCGGGAGGAATAAAAGAACGCGAAATCGAAATGGTACAGGGGCAATCTCTTCATCGTCAAATTTTATGAAATAAATTTAAGGAAGTCCCGAAGTAATTAAAAGTGTCCGTGACTCGGGCTGTTGGATTAAATTGAAAATCAATGCGAAAAATAATTCANGGTTAATACAGTACATTTAAATGAATTAATTACCTTTACGGATAACCTTAAATTATTGAAGAAAAATTGTTGCTGCAGTGACGCCCTCGCTGGGAATCGAACCCTAGTCTCTGGCTTTACGCACCATTGCTGTAGGACCATAAGCTACGAGAGGTGGCAACAGCAACAACGACAGTACGTACCTAACTATGTTGTAGGTCACTTTTCCTCATTAATTTGAGGTTATCTGTAGAGGTAAAAATTAATTCACTTTAATCCACTCAAAATGTTGGCTTTTTCACATTATTTTTCATACCTATCAAAATCGGTTAAATAATTACTTGAATAGCCTGAAACAACTGCATCGCACTTTTTTGCACTAGTTGCAATGACTTTCTTAGGATACTGAATATTTTGTAAAATAAGCATTAACTTGCCTCCTTGTCTAGTAATTTGAAAATTGATGTTAAGGAAAATCACCGATATTTGTATTAAAATTGTCATCTTGAAGTAGAAAATAATTATAATATGAGAAATATCTGCTTTAAGGATATACTATCTTTATAAAAATTATCGTTAAACTTAATAAAATGTTTCCTTAATAAAAAAAATGGTCTATAAAATGACGTAAAGGCATATACACACACAGGAAATGCCTCAGTTTCAAATATTTTCCAATCGATACCTCTCGCTAGATTTACATTAATTACCCTGTATAGTTACGTAAGTACAACTCTAAGTGTTTACCTGTGCTTATTAAGGCAGATATGTAGCACTTTTGAGACTTCAAAACGTTAAGTTTCGAGTTTGGAAATGTTGGAATTATGAAAATCGATTTCCGGAGATATATGTACAATAAACATTACAAAAATACTTCTAACGTCAATTTTTATGAAAAATATACAACTTTTAAGAAAATAGGATTAAAAATTTAGGTGGAAATACGTGACACGCAGTTTTCACAATTATAAAAGTTTAACATTAAAAAGGTAAAAAACAGTTATCACTGCAAATGTCTTTTATTGTTAGCTATAATTTTAAGGAATCATTCGAATTACAGCTATTAAAGTCGTTTGCCAGTAATAAATTCAGATCCATTCTCTAACAGCCAAAACAATCAAGAGTTGGGAACAATGCGCAGACGGTAATCAATCACAAAAAAACCATTATGCTAGAGGCGTCATCTGTTGTCAACTTTTGTTTTAATTACGAAAACAAAGGCCTTAAGAAATGCATCGAGCCTGAAAATAATTTCAAAGACTGCCCCTTTTGGAACACGCGTGCGCTTTCCTATTGCAAAAACTTGTTTGGAACTATAAAAAATTTTCTTTTTAAGAGCATAATAATCCCGCATTATACGTATTGAACTTCTGTTTTGTTTGTTGCAGCGCTGGCTTCTAAGGAGCCGTCGAAAGCTCCAGATTCTCCTGAAACGTCCCGAACCGTGGCAAATCAATTACCATCTGTATCTCCTACACAATCGTCACCTCAAAGACAATCCTCAAACGGGAACGTGTCTCCCGCTCATAACAATTCTGCAGACAGCGTAACTCCCCCGTTACCAGCGTCTGCGGCTTTATCAGTTTCTTTGGATTCGAGTCAATCACAGCCATACACGTTTGCCAATTTCACGAATTGTGTAACAAGGCCTTTGGTTAAAGTCAAAAGATTTCTTAGCACCTTGGTCCAATTCGGATTGGATATAAATACAGATGTAGGCGAGAGGGTTCGAAGTTTAGTACTTAGTTTGGTGGTACGTTATATGGTGTAGAAGTAGTTGTAAAAGACACTCATTTGTTTCTTGTAGAGTTCGAATCTGAGTATAGAAGAATTTCATCATTCCCTTCAAGAAGTCACTAATTTCCCTTTGAGACCCTTTGTTCTTCCGTTTTTGAAAGCACATCTACCACTATTACAAAGGGAAATTCATGCCCTTTCTAGGGCTAATAAACAGGTCAGTATCAAAGAACTGTATATTTTTAGAATGTTTAAGTTTTTGTTAAGAAAGTCGAAACTACCATCATTTCGATCATATTACATCTCGTCCGTGTATTTCATTTGTTTAACCAAGGGTAAAGTCGTTGAACTTATCCTCCCTAATTCTTTTTAGTTTCTTAAAAATGAGATATTAATGAGAAACAAAATGTGAACAAACTTTGCAAATTAATTTTCTTTCCAATTGTACCTTGTACTTGACTGTTATTGAATTTTTGATTTATTTTTCCCACCTTCCTTCGTTGTCACTTTTTCTCCATTTACAATTTTGATAAGTACTTTACTGATTTCACCAACAAATTTTGGTAATTCCTTTTTGTGTCGATTTCACAAACAAGTAGACATCGCTTTACAGGGTGTTTCACATTAAAATTAAATAGGTACAAATCGGGTTATTGTCCTCCAGGACCTAACTTTATTTTTTTTTACAGTCTCCTTTACAATACGTAAGAACCCATGAACATATGATCCTAGATCCAGCTTCTTCTCCTACAGAACCATCTGAGATCTTTTTGCCAAATGACACTCCTGTAAGTACAGGCACCAAGAGGAGGATGTCAGACTTGTAAGTACATATACGTATTCAGATTTAAGAGTATACAAAAAATTACTAACTATAAGCCACTATTTATATGTATTAGCTTGAAGATATTTTAATTTCTTAATTTTCTAAAACAGATAATTTCCTGTAATTTGGAACATTTATATTTAATGAATGGGTAAAACTAATGCAATATTGCGAAAATGTTAATGTAAATTATTTAAATTATTTATTATTTTTATAACAATTAGTTAATGGAAAATATTTTCATTACTCATTACCGAAGTAATGCTTATTGCATTATCTAATACAAAGTGTAAAATATAACAATTTTGTATACAAAAGTTCTCTCTAGAGTTCACTGTTCTCCTACTCTTTCTAATACCTCTTCATTTCTAACTTTCTCTATCTACGGTATACTCATCATTCGCCTGTAACACCACATTTCGAACGCTTCTAACCTTTTCTTTTCCGCCGCGTCCACTGTCCATGTTTCGCACCCGTACAGCTCCGCGCTCCGAACATGCAATCTTTTTCGAATTTCTAAATTAACCGTTCGCGACCATAGAAGTGAATTATTTTTATTGAAAGTGACCCGACCCTGCGCTATCATCTGCTTTATATCCCTACTACTCCTTTAGTCCGTAGGTATCTGACTTCCTAGATACCCAAAATCGGCCACTTCTTCTAATTTTTCTAATGTTAATCGCGTCTTCGATGTACAGATTAAAAAGTAACGGCGACAGTGTGCATCCCTTTCTGACTTCCTTCCTAATATTTACTTCTCTACGTTGCAACCTCAGCTCTTTAACTGTCTGTTGCTCTTTATACAAACTAAGCATATGTATTAAGGAGTTTATACTGACTGACCAGCTGAATGACTGACTGATGATTAATGTACAGTCGAAATTTCGATAGTATATTTTGACTATTGTAGAGAGGTGTACTAAGAACAGATTTTGCAAAAGTCGCAAAAGGTTACACCAAGCAAAAAATTTTTATTGAGGTGATTCTAAGAAAGACATATTTTTGATTTTTCACAAAAATCATCATTCTTCAGTTGTATGAACATAAAGCTCATCAAATCGAAAACAATTTTTCATGAACTTTACGTTTAATAACGTATACTGAGAGCCAGTACTGTTACTAAAATATATTTATAAATAAAGAGTTCCCTGATTCCTGAATTGTTTCGTTTTTGGTGACGTGTTTGTTGCGGAGCGGGCCCCGTATGTCCCTATTGGAAAGTTAAGGTTTACGTCGCCGGGGTAATAATTAAAAGGAAAGGAATTCCTTGCAAGTGACGTTGGGTGCGCGGGCAGAAGGGGAGCGGATGAAGGAGCAGAAAGGACGAAGGAGTAAAAAGCATGCTGTTCCCACCAGATGGTACCAGAGGCGTCGCGTGCAAAGAGAAGAAACCATTATTCATTTTAATAAAACGTTCTCCTGCAGGCTATTGAGTACAACAGGTCAACCTCGAAATAAAAATATCACAAATAAATACAGGGAGACGATATAAAGATAAAATTTTTCTTCTATTTCGTTTCTTTGAATTTTTTTTCGTAATTTTTATGTAAAAGATAAATAATAAATAAATAAATATGCAAGATGTTTTAAATAATTTTCACCGAACGAAATAAAAATGAACGCTTATGATTACACTTCCATATATGTCCGCCTGTCTGTGCCATAATCGACGATCTCTAATAAAAGGAAATCTATTTCTATTTCATAATGCACTGCTTTTTAATTTCTAGGCTTCTTTTGCCCAAATATATGAACGAATACCGTTTTGCCTTATTTCAAAAATTTCTAGGCTGATAAGTTTAGAATAATCAACGCAACTAAAGAGCTTTATGAATATTGCGAAAAAAAGGAAACGGTATATTTCTGGCACCTATACTTTTTAATGAAAAGTATAATAAAGACTGATCAATTGAGAGTGAGATTCACGCAACAAATGGCAAGAAATTTTAACCTTAATCAAAGAATTCTACTGAACTGATCGATAATGATCAAATCAATTCATTATATCAAAAGAACGTTTTCGAATATTTATTTTATATTGCAATTACCTATAATAAATCATTTTTTGTGTTTTTGGTAAAAAGAAATGTCAGCGGCATATACTCATCGAGACCTTTATCAAATAATCTGTCACAATTGTTGTCTCTGGATCAAGAATTCTCAAATCGATATCTCACTTATTCGTTTAGGAGTTAGTAACCGTTGATATAGAATCAGTGTTGTTACAACAAATGGATGCAGGTGGACTCTAGACATACCCTAAAAATTGTTAATGTTTTCCCTTAAGGTATAACCACATTTCTAACAATATTGTTTCACGACTCCAAATCAGGTTAGCATAGAAGTGGGTGCTTCAAGCTGTCTCCCCTAAAATATTCTTATAAACATGTTTGACTGCTATACCAGTATTTATTTTATTCATTTATTCTAAATTCAATGGTTGTAGCAGACAGACGGACGTACAGTCGAATGGATACTTAAGTGATCTGCCAAGGATTCCAGGATTTTAAAATAAGATATTAATTGATTAATTTAGGATTATAAAAGAACAAAGGCTTTCACGGCCAGAATCCATAGTAGAATGAAGATTCGGGCTATAGGGCCTCGGTTTAGGTGAACTATTCTGTCCAGACGTTTCGTCGGCTACAGCGGCTGACATCCTCAGTGGTAGTGCTGCATTGACAACGTGAACGTTGATTAAGTCTCGGCTGCGACACTAGATATAATCTACGTTCACGTTGTCAACGCAGCACTACCACTGAGGATGTCAGCCGCAGTAGCCGACGAAACGCCTGGACAGAATAGTTCACCTAGACCACGGTCCTATACCTCCATATTTATCAACCTCTCGATCCAAATATTTACCTTAAAAATGCCTTAAATGCGGATTTTATTTTTATGTAGAATTTTTTTTTTTTGGGTTCTTAGTACATATAATCAAGTAGGGATAATTATTTCTTCACGTAGGTAAGTACCCCATTCCATGTGGGTATCCTTAGGAAGCGCTTCTCAAGTGAATTGGAGGTTACCTATACTCTAATAAGTAGCGGAGGCATCATATGTATTGGGGCCATGGTAGAATCCATGGCTCACTACGACTTAACAATGAAATTCTAAAACTGGAAAATCATAATTATTATTGCACACTTATGTCGATAGACGAAAAAAGGAGCCGCAAAGAGACGAAAGCATAAACAATATCCTGAAAAGGCACGTTCCGTCCTGTGTTCCTTTTTTCACTATGAATAATTTGACCAGAGCAGAACTTACTGACCGTAAGCGAGTCTGGCACGCTCTTGACCGCTTTTTATTTATTGCTGTCGTATTTTGGGAGAAATTATTATTAATTTGACTTTGTTACGTATTCGATCTGCTATTGCTACCCTTCAAAGATAATGTCCCATATACTTCGGTTGCTTATGAACACAATTCCGTTGTTTTCAGGATCTACGAGAACGGTTTGAACGGTCCACCTCAGCAAGATTCGCTAGATTATGGACCAATAAAACGACCCCTTACGTCGCAAAACGCCTTCCTCTTTTCTCATCAAAGTTTGTTATTACCTAATATAACCTCCGCAGTTCCCAATCATCACATATTCGACTATTCGCAACAACAAGGACACGCTTACGCCCAACAGAGTCGCCAGGACGAAGACATCAACAGAAACTTCAATAATAATAACAACATCAACAACAGAGGTGATGAGGAATGGAGAAACATTCATACGATGCTCAATTGTATCCTTACCATGGTAGAGAAAACGAAGAGAGCTCTAACAATCCTTCAACAACGTAATAATCAAGACGCGACAAACGACTGGTTCCGAAGACAAGATGTCAGTGTTGATCTGAAGAAAGCAGCCAATGAAATAATGTTGCAAGCTGTCAAACAAACCGAAGACAGAGTGGCTGAAGTGAAAAGGAAAGCCGAAGAAGCTGTGAACGATGTCAAAAGGCAAGCTGTTATCGAACTACAGAAGGCTGTAACTGCTGCTGAAGTTAAAGCTAACGAAATTCTCGCTAGTGAAAGGGCCAAAATGGATAAACTATTAACAGGTAAGGATTTTTAGTACATACATAATTTTACTTTATTAGCAACAAGATCTTTCTGGAATTTCTTTTGATTCAAGTTTTGCAGAATTTATTATTACCCTCCCCGTAAGAATTAAAGAGTTTTGATCAATATAAAATTAAATACCTTCATCTAAATATTATTAATTATAAAGATCAGATTAAGATAGAGATTTTTAATGTGTTTCATTTTTTACATAACTAAACAATTTATACATTTTGTTTTAATTAAGGACTCAATGAAATTTGAAATGAAGTTTATTATGGTGAAATGTGAAAAACTTCGCGATAAAATTCTTATTGCTCCTTTTAAATAACGATTCTCCAACAAAAAAAACGAAAAACAAGAAATACTTGCAATGGAGTGGTTTCACCAAAATTATTTATTGTCCTGTTGTTGTATCGATTGTAAGAAACAGGTAAAATTATTTCTCAAACTATTGTCGAAACCACCAAATGTGAATGAAGAGTCAAACAAAAAGAAAAAAATCGGTTGTCTGTAAAGTCGGTTTACTGACGATAGTTGAACGTGACAACGTCATAAGAAAATACTGATGGAATGGTTTCATCTTTCAAAAGAAAAATTTAATTTTATTTGTTTGATAGATATTTTGTATGGATATAGAGAAGGAGGTAAATGGAAATGTATTATTGTATAGCAGCTGTCCACGCGGACGCATCGCTCACTCAAGTAGGAGAGAGACAGATGTCGAACGATGCCGAACGCGGAGGCCGATTGTGCCTCTTTGTCGCTCGTTCCGCGCTCTCGCTTGCACTTCAAGCCTTAAATGGAACGCCTCAGAGCGAAGTAACGCTGCATGAGTCATGTTTTTTCGTGCGTGCAGCCCGCTCCATCGAATTATAAGACGTTGTCACGTCAAAAAGGGAAACTTACGAATATCAGAATAGAGTTCTTATGAAACAATTGAGACATTATTATGTTTTTTAAAGGTTGCGAAATTATTGTTTTTGGAACTGAAATTAAAATTGGGAAGCTTCGGAATAACATTTTTAAAACTAAAAGAAAGGGTAGTAATTTCCGAAACAACTTTAAATACATGGTAGTTTACATACAGATCGTTTGTCTTCCAGAAACGAAAAAATCGGAGGATCTTGCAACTCATACGACAGATTCTGCTGAAAACAATCCGTCACCCCCGTCAATCACCCAACCTGCTCCTTCGCAACAAAATGTAAGCAAATCGCTTTGATGATGACCATGTTTAGATGTTGGTATAAATCCATACCATCTCCATGTGTTAAATTTTGTTATTTCTTTGGTATCTTCAGCTTATTTTTTTGCACTCCTCACTCCTTAGATTATTTCACTGATGAGAAAACATTCGCTGATATGAGAGATAGATCATGTCACAAAACAACAGCATGCTTATATATACAAGGTCGACAAATTTCCCTACTCCTTCGTTAACGATTCAAAAAATGATACAATGTGCCACATCTTTTACTTTTGTCTCCTTCCTACTATTTGTCCTAAAGATAAAGCATCTGTTGCGGTTTCTTGTAAGGCTAAAGTTCTATTTTGATTGCGTACAAACCCGTTACTGTTTAATTTTCAATGCAGTCCTGTTGGAATTGTGGAAGGAAAGCACATGAGACATGCTCGGGGTGTAATACGGCAAGATATTGCGGATCGTTTTGTCAACACAAAGATTGGGATAACCATCATCAGATGTGTTCGAGAGAAAAAACGAGATCCTTAATAACTACGATTAATTCTTCGTCTTCTTCAACTTCTTCTACTACAACCACTCCATCTAACGGCTGTACAACGGCCATAAGTCAACAGCAAGTTACCCAAACCGACCAGCAAATCAAATTTAAAAAGTGACATGCCAATAAAAGAGATGCCAAGACTGCAAAGTACCTAAATGTGCAATAAAAATAGTACGACTTTACGTCTTTTCTAGTCCATCATAGTACCTACACAATGTAATTATTATTTAAATATTTATTTACATATTACTAGTTTTTTTCCTAAAGTACCAAAATAATATTTTTTTATCATTTTTGCGGCAGCTCATAATGAAGCGCCCAATATCTATACCTGTGGAATGAAGATGTTTTTTTTTTCAATTTTCAAGTACTTTTCTCGTACAGATTAGTAATAGTANAAATAAAGATGAAAGGTTATTATATTTGATAAGCAAAAACTCCTGACACATTTTTTTATGTATGTTCTAGTCATTTGGTGTAAATTTGTATTTATATTAATTTTTTGTTTATTTACTGGCTGTGAAAATTTATATACGATTGTCTGTTTTATGTTACTTCAGTATCTCTCCTGCGTATGTAAATGTTGTACCTATACTGTTTTCTTTAACTATTTATTCGAGTATTTATTAAAACATTTCGTAAACCTCCCTCCTACCTTTAATAAATTACACAATTTTTACATTAAAGCACAAAATAATAAATACGTTTTCGTCTTACACACACATGCTCACCTACATACTTAATACAAATATTATTTCTTGGCTATTTCATAAAAAATGCACACAAGGCGATTGTTATGGTTTTTTTTTAAACTTTATCTTCTGCTTGCGCATGGTACACTGCGTGACTGCATCCATTATAACTTTATAATTTAAAATGTTTAATGCAGTCAACAGCAAATTACTTGTGTATGTTTTTCTCCGAATATATGCCCTCGCGTTTTCCTTATGATGCACCTACTACGATTTTTCCACTTTAAGTTTTGAAAGGTTTAAAATATTCATGAACACCTATTTCGTCCCATTCAAAGTAATCCCCACCAGATATTATACGCTTCTGACAACGTTTTTTCCTCTCCTCAAAGCAGTTCAAAGAATCATTGTTTGTGATCTTGTTCAACTCCTCCTTCGATGTCCTCGTTATCTCCTCAATCGTAGCGTAGCGTTGCCCTTTTATGGACCTCAATAGCTTCTGAAATAAGAAAAAGTCACAGGAGGGCCAGATCTGAGGAATACGGTGGATGCGGCATTATTAGTGTGTTGTTTTTGGCCAAAAATTCGCACACATGCAGGGGTGTTATCATGGTGCAAAAGCCAATTTTCGTACTTCCACAAATCCGGGCAGTTCGGGCGGATTGCTTCGCGCAAATTACACATAACTTGCAGGAAATATTCCTTAATGACCGTTCTACCCTGTGGCAAGAAGTTGAGCAATTTTGGTACGAATTTCGCGGCGACCCGTCTCATGCCCAAATCATTGGTAAGAATCGAATGGCAGAAGTCAATCGATCTATTTAGGTCCTCAGCAACTTCTCTAACGGTGATTCGACGATTGGTCAATACTATTTTCTTTACTTCATCAATGTTTTCGTCTGTTTTTGTTGTGCTCGCGCGTTCGGCACGCTCTTCGTCGTTCACATTTTTTCGGTCCTCTGGGAACATTTTGTACCATCGATAAACGTTGCTTCTGCCCAAGATAGCTGCACCATATGCCACAGTCAACATTCGGAATGCGTCCGCGCACGTAATTTTGTTTTTCTCACAAAATTTGATACAGATTCTTTGATCCATTTTTTGGAATAGGCAAAAATCGAAAACGAGCTAAAACACGTGCAAGCAAAGCAGCTGTCAAAAATTAACTGAACATTCAACTTGACCGAACTTGTCGGTATAAGTTATAAAAATCCAAAATCGAATATACGTAACCCGCGAAAATTCAAAATTCGTGATACTTTTTGAACAGACCTTGTATATCTATATTCGGGTCACAACTTACCACTAGTGTATATGTGACTCAGAGAGTAGTCCGATAAATCCTAATTACAAAGGGGTAAAACCTATCATGAAATTTTCTACACACATTGTCGGTCGTACAGAAAACGACATAGGGTACCTTTTATCCAGAAAAAAAAAATGTTCCCGATGGATAGAAAAAATTAGTTTTATCGATGATCGTTGACACGTGTTTAGAACATCAATGAGAGCCAAGCCACGGATAAAACCTAGTACAATATAAAGCATTTGAGGGTGTTACGCATTGTTCAAAAAATTTTAAGTATTCAGTTACTTTAGAACAGTTTTCAGGCATGCAGGTGGTTTAAGAAAACATATTCTACACGTTTAGCAAATTATATGCATTTTAATTCGCGCCACTAAAAGAAAAAATTCAGAAAGGTGTTGTTACAGTATCAATAATAATGCTCTTTTGTTTGAATCCTTGTCGGATTTAAACGAGGTACCCCTCTCTGATATAAAGTTTAAATAAGTTATTATTTAGGTATGATGTGTAAGCAGAATCATTCAATTTTGACCCCATTTTGTACCCTTTTAGTAAGGAAAATAAACATATTTTTATAATTAATAAGTCACTTCACTAATTGTAAGTTC